GAAGTATTTCTGAGAACATTATTTCAACGGCTGACTGGCTGACTGCAAGAAGTACGAGTTCCTTGCTTAAGGTGTAGGAGATTTATGTTAGCGCTGTTGCCATATTTTGTAAAATTTGATAATTAAAACGAGAAGTATCTTGTCTAAAAGCAATCGAGTTTTCAGACGGCATCATACTGTCCCAGATTGTCTTGCCTATAGGATTTTATCAAATACAACAGGTCAATTAACGATTCTGTTCTATTACGCTGGTATATACACAAATATTCTGATAACAATAAATCGATGCTTCGTGATAACATGGCCAGCCCTCTATCAGAAATACTTCGATAAGTCAATGACAATACGATGGATTATGATTGTGTGGTCATTGTCATTCTTACAAAGTTGTATCTATCTAATTCGTAAGTTGCGCATCTCAAGTCGACAGCTCCAATAAGAACAATTACCAATAATGCCCATTTGAACAACAAAAAAAAAGACTCAGCTCCAACTTCGCACTTTTTAGTTTTAGACCGCGTACAAGCTCAAATTCTGCACCTTTTAAAATTCTGGTTTCGGTCTCGCCTGCGCCTACGCACATCCAAAAGGTCGTCTCTGCCTCCAGCTAGGACTCCGTGTCTTCAAAACATCGATCGTTACAGCTCCGGCTCCAGATTTTTTTGAAATCCCGGCCTCAGCTGGAGCTCTTCATATTTTAAGACTCAGGCTTCGACTCCAGCTCTGAAAGATGCTTTGGCTCGCTCCGAAGGAATTCGGGTGCAGACAAAAACCGCGGCTACTAAATGTTGCTGTGATATTTCGTTATGAGAGAACCACGAAAAGTGTTTTTTGGCTTCTGAGCTTAGACATCACCGGCAACCACTTTCTTAGATGCGTGATCATTTCAGCTGGTTGTCACTTTTATTTCGACACCAGAATGTATATTTGGAACTACTCGCCAACATCGTGCGGCCGTGTGATATCAACCATGATCGAATTAGCGTTGAATTTATTCGCCGTATTTTTCATCATCTCGATGGACACATTCATTTTCTTCAAGTTCAGACGTATGAATAAGGTGTTTTTTGACGTTATTTTAACATTAAAACAAATAACTGGTATTCTTGAATCGTAAAATAGAATTCAAGCGCTCAATGTGCATTATGGTGATTGACACTGAGTCATCAACACTCCAGCTCTGATAGCATTTTCCTCCTTCTTTGATCACTCAGAAGATGAGTTTATAACGTCACATAGTGAACTGCGGTTCATCGGATTCGCTTGAGAGATGTAGTTCCACAATAAATTGAAACCGAATAATTCAACGGCAACTTGAATGAACGTTGAAGGCACTTCGAAAGAGTGGTGCATGCCCAATCTCAGTTACCGAGCAACAGCAACGTCGCAAACGAGAGAATCGATTCTTCGTGCAGGTGATCGATTCCAAATGTGTATTACCTCTGTAGCATGTCATCGATGATCCTAAATCGTACCAAAATCATCCTCAGTTGATGTCGCGACTAGCGCGAAAAGCTAGCATAAAATGATGATGATGATAGTACTCAAAGATAGTACTTAGGTCAAATAGAAATGATTGAGCAATGGGCCGGTGTAACGCTGGGCTTTGAGAATCCGATCGGTTCCGAAGACATAAGTTTGATTGCGCGTATCTCAATTTAGAGATATTCAAAAGGACTGAGTTTCGACAGTTGATGCCGTTTATTGAATAATTGTTTAGCTTTTCTTCGCATCGAACGCTACTCGTCGTACTCCTCTGTAGCTCTCATTAAATAGTGACCAATTTTTTCTGCTGATATCGTACTAAACTTTCCCTCTATTTTTTCACGCTATAATAATTTCAGCGTGAAAATAACCACTTTTGCAGGCATGTTGCTCGGAGAGCCTTTATTTGTTTGCATTTACTTGTTTCTACGGATCAACGCTATTGCCATATTCCAAATGGGGATTGTTTGGTCTAACGACAATGATTTGGGAATTATTTCATACGTTCGATGGGTGAGTGTCACGATAAAAATTCTTCTTGCATCATTAAAGTAATACTTGTCTCGGTGAAATGCAGCATTTAACGGAATGAAAAGACTGACTGGAAATGGAGATTTTTCAACGTTGAGCAGCTACACTGGGCAATTGATTGCTTGAATAATTTCATGCTTACTCACTGTAAAGTTTAACATCTGTCAAATATTGAGCCTAATATAACAACCTGGAACAAGTATTTCATGTCACTGAAATGAGATCCTCTGTGATTGAATGTCGCCTTTCGAGAGATGATTCGAAACTGTTTGAAATGTCGATAATAATTGGGCATCGAAATTTTTGTGGGGATTGATGGTGCACCGAACTCTTCATTGCTACCCATCAGCACTTTCATAAAGTAGGCAAATCTAGCGTTAATCACACGAATCGGAGATTTCGATAATCTTCACGATGCGATTCGTGGATAACGCTTCACGATCCGTGCACATTTTATGATGATTACCTTCTCGGCGAGAAGTGGGAATTTTTAGGCAGGTTCCTCTAAAGTAAGCCTTTTGAAGGCTTCATAATATAAATTCTGTTCGTATCTGCAAACAATTAGCTTTAATACGACATGTTGCGACTGGGAAAAGAGCATTTTGAGCAAGAAGAAAAACAACGATGAGCAGTGTCACTTGAAAACAGTTAAAATTAGTCACTTCTTTGACCGATAAAGGTAATTAATGAACCGATAATCGTGGCATGCCATGAGTTTTCATACGAGAGTCGTACGAGTTTTGATAGTATCAGTGGTGATGAGTAATTTCAGGATAATTTTGGTGGTGTTCAATCGCGATATAGGTTGCTGTCGGGGGAAATCCTCCAAAAGAAGCAAAGCTATCGAAAAAAAAGCTGTACTTGAGCGAGCAAAATTAAAAATGAAGAAAATCGTGCCATTGACGATGCTTTCAACCCGCAAAAAAGTGGTCAAACCAATCACTGTCAACGTCAAAGCAGCTTATCAACCAAACAAGAATGCAGAAAATAGCAACAATAGGGGTTGCACTACAGAAAAAAAGAATAACGTGAATGAATTGAATGTTGATAATATAACTTACCATAATACTTATACTGTTTGAAATCATATATAATCCACCTAATTGAAATCATTATATCTGTATGTGAAATGTTACTGTGTAAAGAGTTCTTTGTTTTGTATGCAGCCATCATCAAAAACACCGAATCGCTCGAGAGTGTAAATGAAGTCTTCGACGTGATGATGATGAAAAAATCGCTTTAGCAACAGACTTGAAAACGTGACTGTGCACAAAAGGATTGCATCTGAAACGGCCTTAGCCACGGATCTATGAGCGAGCGATTCTCCACATTTTATCTATGAGCTTATTCAAAATTTTCCATTGTGTCCTCATTATTCCTGATCACACCAGTTCAACAAAGGTTCCAGTGATCAGTATAGGCAAATTTTCATCAAAACCAAAATTGTTGCGTGAGTAGTTCTTGCTTCTGTCATTGTTATTACTCAAAACAGTCGGTTGGCTGAGCGGTTGGCTGCAGCAATACTTATGCCACGACAGCTGACAATTCGTAAAATCAGCTCTGAGTTCGTCTTAATAAATAAACTTCATCTAGTGATTGGTTCGCTTCGCCGATAGCTGAAAGACTGAGTCGATGTTTTAATTAATAGAATCATATTCTCAGTTTTATCCTGATGGCATACAATTAAATTTGAGGGCAACAATCTGAAAGCAAAAGAAATGTTTATCGTTAGTACAGTGATAAAGCAACGATATCAATAAAAAGACAAAAAGTGTATATATGATTTCGCGTTGAATGTTCACTATCTGAACGAACATCCGTGTGTATCGCTGAATAGCGTACGGCTGAAAGCATTTGTTGCAGAGAAGGGGCAAGAGCATTCTTCAAGCAATTTGGTAACGCATTACTGGGGAAACAAAACAAAGAGCTGAACCAAACAGAAGAAGAAAGTACCATGAACCCGTTAAGTGAGGAGAGTGATACAGTCAGCATGCCAATAGTACGTTATTTTTCGATTGACTGATTCATGACTTAAATTGTCCTCGTGTTCGGAGCACTTTATGCTGATCATTTTAACATTTTTATAAAATCGAAGTTTGTTGAAATAGAGAATAAGGATGCCGGTTAAGGATAGCTCGAGTGTAATAGATGGAGACGAACCACCCTCACAGGTAAACCAAGCCAAAGCAACGACGAATCATGAAGATGGGCAAAACGACGAAGATCGATTTGAAACATCCATTGACGAGCCAGTAAAGGCGTTTCGTCGTCGTATTCTAAAACTTTATTTTGAATTCATTAAGTTACATATATGCTGACCTCGGTCAAATAATATTTCGACGATTATAAGAAGAGTTCCTGAATATTCTTAGAATTACTTCCCAAATTCTCAAGTCTGCAATACACCTGTAAT